CTAATGATCTAATTATATATTTTGCTTCAGAAAATGGATCGTTTAACGCACAAACAATACTTCCAATTGGAATTGATTCTTATCCTCAATATGTCATCACTGGCGATATCAATACAGACAAACAATTAGACATAATTACTGTTAATTCAAAAAGCAATACTATAAATATCATCATGGGAGATGGCAATGGTAATTTTTCAGATCAAATCAAATATTCAACTGGACCTAATTCACATCCGTATGGCATAGCTATGAGTGATTTTAATAATGATGGCCGAGTTGATTTTGTTATTGCTAATGAAGGGACAGATAGTATAGGTGTATTATTTGGATTTCATTATGCATCATTTCAAAATCCAACGACGTATTCTAATGACAACAATCAGAGGCCAATGGCCATCATCGTTAATGATTTCAATAATGATAATTATATTGATATTGCTACCGTCTTTTCATTGACTGACAATTTAGCTGTTCTTCTTGGATATGGAAATGCTAGTTTTGGTCCTATGATAACTTATTCGACTGGAATTGATTCAACACCATACATGTTAGCTGCTAATGACTTTAATAATGATGGTCAAATGGATATTGTCGTGGCTAATTATGGAACTAACAATCTAGGTATTTTGATTGGATATAACAATGGAAGTTTTGCTACTATGACAACATATTCAACTGGATTTCAATCGAATCCGTTCTATGTTGCTGTTGGCGATTTCAATAATGATAACCGAACAGATATTATCTCGGTTAATTGGGGCAGTAACAGTATAGGCATTTTTCTTGGATATGGTAATGGAAATTTTGCTGTGATGATCACATATTCAACTGGAGATTCTTCTAATCCATGCGCAGCCGCCGTTGGTGATATTAACCATGATGATCAATTAGATATTGTCGTGGTTAATTATGGAACTAGCACTATAGGTATTTTTCTTGGATATGGTAATGGAAATTTTCAAAATCAAGTGACCTATTCAACAGGTTATCAATCTTGGCCGACATCAGTAGTTATTGGCGATTTCGACAACGATAATCAATCTGATATTGGTGTTGCTAATTTTAATATTAACAATGTGGGTATTTTTCTTGGATATGGAAATGGATCTTTCTCTAATGTTGTGCCGTATTCAACTGGAGACAATTCTTCTCCACAATGTGCTGTCGTTGGTGATTTTAATAATGATAAAATCTTAGATATTGCTGTTACTAATTATGGAACTAGTGGAATTGCTATACTCTTTGGATTTGGAGACGGTAGCTTTTTATTGGGTACTGGATATTCAACTGGTATGGGATCCGTACCGTCGTCATTAGCTGCTGCTGATTTTAACAATGATACACGATTAGATATCGCTGTTGCTGGTACTCTCTCGAATACTATAGTTGTACTTCTTGGATACGGATATGAATCATTTGCGGATGTAACAAAATATAATACTGGTGATGGATCAATGCCTCATTCAGTTGCTGTTGCCGATTTCAACAATGATGGTTGGTCAGATGTTATTGTGGCTAATTATGGTACTGATAATGTTGGTCTTTTTCTTGGATATGGTACTAAAGGTTTTGATAGCATGATAACATTTTCAACAGGAATTAATTCAGCGCCATATTGTCTTGCTATTGGTCATTTCAACAATGATAATTATTTAGATATTGTTGTTACCAATTCTCAAACTGATAATGTCGTTATTCTTTTTGGTTTTGACAATGGAACATTTACTATTGGAGTAATATATTCAACTGGAGCACGATCGCAACCGTCCGCAGTAGCTGTAGGAGATTTGAACCAGGATAACATATTGGATATCGTCATTGCAAACTTCGGCACCAACTCGATACTTATTCTGTATGGATATGGAAACGGATCTTTTGGAAACGATACATTGTATCAATTAGGCTATGAATATAGGCCTACTTCGGTTGTACTTACCGATTTGAATAATGACAATTGGACGGACATTGCCATAGCATGTTATAACACAGATCACTTAGAAATTCTAATGAAGATGTGTTAGTTTAGACATCGTTCAGTGTACATTTCATTTGTTCTTTTCTTTTTTCATATTTATCTTATGTTTTTATATAATATCTCTATCTACAATTTAGTATTTTTAGCTCATTCAAAGGAATCAATCAGAATTTCGTCTACATTAGAAGAATTATAATTGATGTTATTATTTTGGATCCTTGTAAATACTTGAGATCTTAATCCCTTGAGGACGGTTGGTTCCTTAAGGGGCCATGGTGATTCTCTAGTATTTCAAAGCACACAGATTTCTATATGAGATTAGTTTTTGTGAAAGCAGTTATCAGAGAGTTTTTTTGATATAATGCGGATTGTAATTAGGTTAATCTGGTAACGAATAATAAGTATAGCAAAACTGACTTTCAAAAAAAAACCTATAATCTCGAATCCTTGTCAGCAATGTTGCTCTCCATATAGGGACATGTTAGGTGGTATTCACATGCTTTCAACTATTCACGAACCAAGCATGGTATCTACAGGCAAACTTGAACACATCACTAACGAACCGATAATGAAAGCGATTTGCATCAAAGAATACAATGAAAATATGGGAGCAATAGACAAATTGGAGATGCAGATTTGCTTGTCGGAATGTGTACGAAATTCCATCTGCTCGATATGACTCTGTTCAATGCCGTCATTTTATTAGAAAATAGAAATGTTGATTGATTTATGATGAAATATACAGAAAAAAACCCGTTTCCAATGGGTTAAACGTTAAGGCCCCCTCAAAAATCGATCTCAGCCTAAGAATATTCAAATGGCATGACATTTTCAGGATATGTTGGAGCTGGTGTGGAGAGGCAATGGTAAAATTTTCAGCCAAATATCATGATGTTTGAGGGAGATATTAACCAAACAAGGGTCAAAAATAGCTCATTTGGCAAAGCAAATTTCTCTGTCCAGGTTCGTTATAGAGATTTAATTTGTTTTTTGTTTGAAAGAGCATGTCAGGATGCAGTACAATGCGTCTTGACGCGCTCCTTCAAACAAAAAAAAAATATGTTGAATGAGTATCGACAGAGAAATCTGATTTGCACACTCGAGAAACTATAAACTGAGAAAAAAAACGAAAAAGATTTTTGATTTTTTTCAACAACAGGGTGTGGGTGTGGGCGTGGATGTCGGGTGAGTGTGGATGTGAGTGTCAGGTGAGTGTGGGTGTACGGGTATGAGTTTGGCTGTTGCTGTAGGTGTGTATTCGTATCACTTTGACACCCACACACTCACATCCACACCCATACCTACATTAACAATTTCTTAAAGAACCCGCGCCAAAGATCCACAAGAGAATGAAGCACCGTTTTAAATTATACTCGTATCGTATACGAAATCGAGCAGTCACCAGTGGCGACTCGTATGGACGCCAACGACTGACTGCGAGCTGTCTCTTACGGTTCACATTGGAAAATCTCAAGAGAAAATTGAAAAGCCAGATTTTTTACAAAGCGGGCGTCATCGACAGTAGTATACAGGTTTTTTGTATATGCATGTGTATTCGCCAATAGTTTTCAAAAAAGAATCCAAGAGGTAATGATAGATAATGATTAGATTGGATTCAGTCTAGAGTCAAGCGAGTCGTAACGACGAGTGTTACTTGTTGATTCATCGCTATATTCAAATTCCAATCGAATAGCTATTGAAGTCGAAGGTACAGATGTCCCAACTACTAATAGGAGGCGTTCGCAGTGATCCAAAGTACAATGGCAAAGCTATGTACGTGATATTCTACCAATGAAGAATGATTTTAATGTTTCTACTTTACGCGTTAAGGGACAACAGGAGATCGTAAGGTTGATCCTAACTTCTCTGTGGATGAATCCCATGGTGCTCTCTAAAACAATTCTGTTGAATAATCTTATTCTTTATCCTTTGTTTTTTGGACGATGGTATTCAAAATAAAAGGATATTTATTGTTCCCATCTAATCTTTGTTTAAAACTTAAATCAATAGTTCATAATAAATTTCACAGTAAAATATAAACATTCATTTTGTCTACATTTTTTTTTGAAATTATTCTGCATAACAAACGGTCATAAATCATGAGAAAACCAATCGATCTAAACACAGACTATATTTCCAACAAGAGTGAAACATTTTATATTGAACTCCGAATTTCAACATCAAATTATTACAAACAATTATATTGATTCCCAACATAACACTTGTGAAACCGAGAAGAAATTCAGATTTTTAATATTAACACATTGGTTGTCAAGAATTCATTTATCGATGATTAAAAAAAAACATTCCACAATATTTCTAATCTTTTCATAATATTCATCGAAAGCGATGTTTTATTAGTAGCTAAAAATATTCCTTTCACTAAAATAATCTGTAACCTAGTAGCTCGAGATATATTGTTTTGCTATGTTCGATGAAAAATTAATAAACAAGCAAACATAATCAATTATCTGTGATCTATACATGAAGTCTAGTGAAATTAATCGAAATAAAAACATGATCAATCAATTGTGTTGAAGTACATTGACTATTATTAAAAAAGGGAAAAAATACTTTTGACGAAAAGAAATCATTTGATTTATTATGGTATACAATATATAGATCATCTATGATATAAATATAACCTATTTAAGATGAACATATTCTGGTGTTTCTTTAAGTGATCTAAGAATACAAAAGAAGATCACAATAACTATAATAAAACTTCAATAATATATAAATAATCATATTGAAATTACAAAAAAATGCATGAATCTAGCGAATAGGATTTATACGCTAGTTCCTAACTGATATTTACATAGGCAAGTTGCGAATGATGTCCATCAGTGTATAATCAAAAGGTTAAGACATAAATGTGTCCGTTTGTCACTGAAAATGTTGGACGTAAAAAATCGTAATTGTTTTGACATGTACCTTGATAACAATGGGAGCCCGTATAAAAATTTGATTGAATAACATTACTACCTTTCGTCTCACAATTGACACTGGAACAGAGTACTTGTCAACCAATTAAAGTACCATTCTCAAAGACACTATTTACAAGTATTTCAGAGTTGGATAAATTTTTATCTATAATATTGACATCATCAAGATGCCAAGTCTTTGTTGTGCTTAGAGCTTTAAAACCAAATTCTAATATGTTCATACCAGTGGATGCTGCTGTGTATGTATACGTTTGCTTCTGATAGATAATTGGTGTAACATTATACGCCAAAACATATTTGTTTGATGGAATACATGGAATACCTATAACAATAAAATGAGAAAGAAATCGATACTTGTGTAGTTGACTTGCTGATAATAATTATAGACATAGATGTGATAGTAAATGCTGAGCTAATGACTTCAGTAAGATAAAAATAAAATAAAATTTATAAAAGCTTTCTTTAGTCTTTCCTATAATAGCCAACAGATGATCATTTCAGAGTTGAAATCATAACTCAAAAAACACCTCTTTGACAGATATAGTGCTAAGAAATCTTTGATAGCTATTGAGTCGTATCGGGCAAAATCAAACTTTTTGACTCAGTAGAGATATTTATCGACGTGAAAAAATATCGTTACTAAGAAAGGAATAAGTTTGAAGTCTGGCAAGATCAATCACATATTATTTTCGCAAAAAAATCTTACTATTTTGAAAGAAATATAAGAATAGAAAACTAACTATTAGTTCAATATCATCCACAAATACAATGAGTTCATGGACAAAGAACAACTACCGCAAATGGATTGTCGCGTAAAATGGCAGAAATACTTGCTCAAACTGTAATTGTCCAAAATGTAAGAAATCCTACAAGTCACAAGGAATTACCAATCGTATGAAATCCTATGCAATGGAATAGTACAAGCGAAATGGAATTCAATTGTACTAGCATTTTCGTTTATCGAAAAAGTTGCGTCTCAATCAAGGTTTGAAGGTAAGACTTGGATGAATAGTCATGCTGAATCAAACTCGACAAAATTTTCGTCTAATTCCCCAAGATAATGGTCTATCTAATAATCCTTTATTTACTTTATTTCGCTCTATTCGTTAAAGTAAATATTTCTTTGAGGTTTTTTTTGCTCCTTGAAACTTATGACTACAATGTAGCATAATTCTCTTTGTTAATTAACATATGAAGAATGAAGTTGTTATTAAGTAAGAGTAAAAAATCTTGAATGTTTTATTGCTATAAATATAACATAGACTTCAGAAATTATTCTTCTCACTTATTCCAAGTCTGACTGGAGAGAAGTATTCTGATCACGACTTTGCGTGCAACTCAAACACCAAAAAATTATTTTTGGTGAGCTAGACTTCCACTTCGTCAGAATCGAAATTGGAGGCTCGTAGCTCTACGAAGTACTCTATCATCAGATTATTTTTCTATTAATCATCATTTCTTTATTTCTATCTCAACTACTCCATAATTATTATTATTCAGTTTACAATGCAGACCTATTCAATTTGAAATTCGATACATTAATTTCTTTAATTATTTATTTAGAAGTATGTTTTAACCAATAAACTTCTCATACTGAGTTTTTACATGTGTTAATATACAATAAAACGATGCTATTCTATGTAATATTCAGATTTTACCAACTATATATAATCTACTTACTCGTAGAACTTGCCGTGTCTAGTTGCGTGATTGTTGTTGCTGTTGTTGGTGGTGGCGTTATTATTGTCATTCTTGTTGATGTTGTTGTTATTGTTGCTATTGCTGTTGTTGTTATTTTTGTTGTTGTTATTATTATTATTGTTGTTGTTGTTTATTGGTCATTGTTATTGTCGCCGTTTTGTTGTTTTGTTGTTGTTGTTTTTGTTGTTGTTGTTGTTGTTTTTATTGTTGTTGTTGTTGTTGTTGTTGTTGTTGTTGTTGTTGTTGTTGTTGTTTTTATTGTTGTTGTTGTTGTTGTTGCTGTTGTTGTTGCTGCTGTTGTTTCAGTTTCTAGGAAAAAAAAATGATAAGACGTTAGAAGCATTATCTGTAAATGGTAAAAAAATTGAAATTGAAAAATGAAATAAATGGTAAAACTTTTCGTTTCAATCCTTCATAAAAATAAAAGAAAGTACATATCAGAATAGAATATGAGCAAATAAAAGAAAATATCAGTTCAACTAATAAGAAATGTAAAAGTCTTTGGAAAAATGTCAAACTCTGTTGCATCTTATAACCAACATGTAAACCAATAAAATTTTTGTTAGAAAGAGTAATGTCTGAACTAGAAATTTTGTAGAAGATATATTTTTCTAGAACGAATCTAAGAAAGATGAAGAGTCAAAAAAAACAAAAAGACTCCTAAAAAAGTTCTTGCAACTTGAAAAGTTTCTATTTCTCAGTTATTTTGAGCTATGTGGAACAAATTCTTATTAAAACATTGA